CTTTTTACTAAAGGAAACTTGAACTGACCAGTATTCCTGAGGCTCAAATTTGTCAATTTCCATTTCCCTATCACATATTAGTGCAAGAGCAGCAGACTGAACCCGCCCAGCCGATTGGCATGCAGGAAGTTTCCTCCATAACAATGGAGAGATGTTGAATCCTATCAAGTAATCAAGAGCTCGCCGTGCAAGATAAGCATTTACTAAATTCACATCAATCTCCCTTGGACACTGGAGGGCACTTTTGATGGATGATTCTGTTATTTCATTGAAAACAACCCTTGCCACCGTAATATCATCACGTAAAGCATCTTGTTGCTGCAACATCTCTTTAATGTGCCAAGCAATAGCTTCTCCTTCGCGGTCAGGATCAGAAGCAAGAACAATATTCTTGGCTCTGACAAAACATGGGGGAATACGTGACAATATGACATAAAGAATGAAATATCAGATATAAATACAAGAATACAAAGCAATGTCATCTTAAGAATCACTGTAGCCACCAACTATATGTTCGGGTTGATAGCAAGAAATTTAGGGTCAATTAATTGTCTAAAAATATTTTACACCCTATAAATTCAATCAGCCTTCTAAAGAAGGAATAGTAATATGATATATCAAAACTGTCATCATCGGATGACATCTTTTTTCCCCCACTTACATAAAATACCTGGCAAATGGCCCAAAACAGCTACAAAAGTAGAGCACTCAGCAATGCAAAAAGACGGATATCATACCCAGTTAATGCACCTTTGATAGCAAGAAGGCGAGTCCATGCAGCTGGAGGAACCTCCCACACCATGCTGAAGTCATCATCGGGTCGCACAGATCCTGACCTGGCAGCCAAGTCCCTGATATGGCCATAACTAGGCAGAACTTCAAACATGTCCCCAAGATATCCTTGAATAATTTTTGCTTTTGTGACAGACTCAACCACCAATACGGACTTACTGGTAGGTGGATATAGTGTTGGCCACACTTTCTGAACCTGAGGTTGAGCCTCAATTTCGCTGTTGATGTTTAAACTTTGATATTGTTGCAAGTTACTTGTTGAAGAAGAATTTTGTGTGTTGTCTGATTTTACAATACCAGTGGCTCCTGTGTTTGACTTTCCCATTCTGCGGTTTCTTTTCTTGGAAGATGTAGGTTGCTGCTTTCCCAATACCTTCTCATCAGATACTTCCGAATTGACAGTTGAACTAATCTGGAAATCTATGAAGTTAGTTAATGCAGTTATTCATTACTACAATCATGAAATATGTACTCCTTATCGGGATATTTCTAACCTCTGAAATGGCAGGAGATTGCTTCTTTTTTGCAGTTTGTCTCTTCTTTTGTTGAGGAACATCATCCTTAGCATCAGTAGATTTATTGTCACACTTTTTACTTCTTGATCGTTGCTTCAATTTCCCTTTTGTTACAGACGATTGTTCATTGCTAGCAGGTAAACTTTGAATCTCAACATTCACTTCCTTATTAACACCATGAGGAATGTGGCCATTTTCTCTGTCTGAGAGTGCTTTTCTAGGGATACTAGAGAAGGACCGGGACCCCAACCTGCCCAATGAACCAGCACTGAGGACATCTATGGAAGCTTCATTACACTGTAACCCCCTTCCAAATTTTGGCAGTAAAGTACAGAGCCACTTTGGCTCAAATTTTATGGCATAAACTCTACAGGGAATTCCCCTGGTAGCCAAACATGTCCTTGCTTGCCGAGGGAGTGTGTCAACTCTTTTAATACTTCCAAAAGCAGGATACTGTAAATGAATTGATGAACAGTTCTGAACTGCCTTGAACTGTAACTTAAAAGAATTTTATTTGAGAAATTAAGAGTGCAGTGTTGAGAGAGACAAAATAAATAAGAAAAAGATAGAAGCCATGATTATCAACATTACAATGGAGCTACATATTACTCACTCTGTCCTGATTTTGTTCTCAACTTTTTTGGGGGTGCCTGGAATTTACTGTCCAATAACTATATTTAGTAAAGGCTAATTTGAATTGTCAAAAATGCATCCTGAAATGTTTATTACCATCGCTCACATAAATGAAAACAAGGTAATTTCAGGGGTTTTTCTTATTTTCCCAGATTCAATTCCTTAAGTTTGAGATTTTTTGGAAAGTGTAACACAAAATAGGATGGAAGGAGTAGAAAACACTATCACATACATATTCACCTTCGAGACCTAAATAAACCAAGTAATCTTGTATTGAAGTATGCAATATTTTCCATCCGCAAGCTGAAGAAAACACTCCTAACGGGAAATTATCTTTAAGGCATTAAATACTCAAAAAGAAGAAGAAGAAGATTGAAACAGGTATTCTACCTCCAATTCAGTACCTTTAATCTTCTCAAATTAGAAACTCATCACTTACCATTATGGTGAGAGAATTACTCACGGCAGTAGTGAATAGTTGCTTGTGACCATATTGCCCTGATGTTAATCATAATTGCACATATTTCAATACAAATAACATGATTGTAGATGATAATATTGAGGAAAAACAGAATTTCAAAATACAATCAATAAATATCTTTTGCAATGATGTGATGTACTATTATGTAATAGATGTTTCTAAAATCCCTTCGCAAAATCCAAGGTTGGTTAGTTTACAAACAGGAATCAGACTCTTACTAAGTTACTCTACATGTTGGTTAAAACGAAACACTTGCTCTTACTCCTACAGCCTAAGATGTGGGAGAAATAAAAAACTCCTTGGACTTTTTAGATTTTCTAGAAAACATTCACTTTATTTTATTTTTTTGCGTGAACAATCACATTATTAACTAAGACAAATGTTATATTTAGAAAATATTCCTTTATTTCTAAGTTTGAAATAACCAAAATTTATGCATTGTTCACCCAAATTCATGTTTACTGAAAAGAGGGTGTCTTCATATTAATGAAAAACATGAAAGGGCATTCAAATTGCATTAAACAGATTTTGTAAACACAACACAGGTTGATTTAAAAGGCTATGTGACCCATTATATAGCTGTTTCTTGGGTACTTAAACATTGTTTTAAAAATAATCTAATCATAACTGTTCTATTGGTTTTTAATGTCCTTTTAGTACACTAAAGAGATATAATATGAATAGTACTACATAGTAAAATTCATTCTTCCTGAGCAAACAATGATCCCCATGACAGTATTTATTCATCTGCACTTCATTAGTACAGAGTACAGAATGGAACTTTTAATTTTTGAAGACTATGCATAGTACAAATACAATATGAAGAAATGTTGATTATAGGAAGAAGTGAAGAGAAATATGAATGCATCACTTAATTTGTGATTGCTTTTTTTGATATAGTTGATAAATTGCTATTCATACGTGCAGAGCATAATATATGCATGAATTAAATATTGAACATCTTTATAAAGATACTTAACTGTGAAGACCATTCTTGACTTGTGGCAGGATGTTTCTCATCATCAAAACATTACTACAGAGTGCTTCTACTTCTAGAACTGACAACCTGAAACGGTGAACGTTGAATACTGAAATCCAGAAATACAAATAATTCCATGACCAAAGCTGTAAACATGTTTTTGATTATACTGGTTTTACCCAACGGTCTACATGCATATAAATTATTTTGGGTAAAGCCATTATTCCACGCAGGCTTTAAAGACAAAGACACTTAATATTTTGAAGTTAATGATTTTAGCCTAAAATCCTAAATGGGGCTGAGAGGCTTTCAAGTGTGGTTTTTAAACCCAAAAATTGATGAGATCTTATCAGTACTCCCTTCATCCCGAATTAATTAAGGATTTGCGGCAAGCAGTTAGAATCATATCCCACAAAAGCAAGGTCTGGGGAGGGGGGTACGCAGACCTTACCCTACTAAAAGTAGAGAGACTGTTTCCAAGAAACAGAATAAGACTACTAAAATATGTAGAAAGAACCAAAATAGGACACATATTCTTTTCCCAAAGTAGGATCAAAATTCATTTTTTTTATATCACGCTGATCAATTAAAAAATCTGGGCTAATCCATTTCCTGCCGCGGTATATAGTCACAAGGGACACCATGCCACAATAATTCCTAATATAACAAGTTATGTTCTCCTCGTTTATACTTCATAGAATTTAAATATTGTAGATTTTTAATAACAAATTTGTGCATAGCATTATTCTTTTTTTTGAAAGGAGAATTAATTATTTATATAACAACACAATGATATTATTATAAATTATAGTCTAATATAAAAAAAATCTAATTTTGTTCATTAAAATTCCTAATTTCAGAGCAACATATTCATTCTAATTCAACGCAAAACAGAGTAAGTTAAAAAAAAACTTCTCTTAACACCTAATTATGCTTCTTATAAATAATAGTCACTCAAACTAGAGAAAAAATTACTTATCAATACAGAGTCTAGAGATAAGCGGGTGGCGGCGGCGGCGAGCAGTGCAGGTCGGAGGATAAGCGGGTGGCCGGAAGCCGTAGTTCGGCTACAGACTATTGGGGGCCGTGGTGGAGTGCTGGCATGTTATTGGAGTTTGTGACTGCGTGAGGCACTGTGCGGTAGAGGGCGAAGCATCGGCAGAGGGACAATAGTAGTCGGCGACTACTATCAGTTGGCGACTAGGAAAGAAAAAATGACGGATGCAAAAAAAAAATTGTTTTTTTTTTGTTTTCTTTTTCCCTTTTCCTCAACAATCATGCTACATTTACACAAAAAAAAAAGTATACTCCAAAATTGCAACAAAGATATATACTAACTAGTATTACACATATGCATTGCATGGGTCATAGTTACGGTATTAATATAAGATCATTTTTAAGAATATAGATTGGTATATAATGGAATGTAGAAGTTTCATTATTTTAAAGTACAAAAGTTCATAAGTTAGGCTATATTTACTTTACTTCATCTGAATGGTTCTGATCGAATTGGAATGTAGTTATAATTAAAGCTGTTTCTGATCTGATCAAATTCCAATAAGAATGAGTAATACTACCTCCGTCCCAGAGTATTTGTCCACTTTCATTTTTACACACCATCCAATACACTTTTTTAATCCATTTTATCTTGTAATTTGTATATTTAAAAATTATAGAAATTATATATTAATAATCAATATGTTAAGACAAATCAAACAAGATCACACATGACTATATTTAGGCTTACACATTGAGAGAATTTGATGAGTCAAAGTGCTTAGATAAACAATTCCAAAAGTCAAAACTGGATGAATACTCCGGGACGGAGAGAGTAAATAAGAAAATAAGTTAAAGAGAATATGACCTTAATGATGTACTCCATCTATCCCATTTTATATTGCTTGTTTTGAATTTGGAGATATATTTAAGGAAGATGAAAAATGGAACTGACTTTCTAAAAAATGCCCTTACTTTTTTAAAAGGTGACAATGAATGAGAAGATAAGGCGGAGAGGAATGACTTATTTTAGGGGTAGTTTAGGTATTTTACCCTTAAAGTTTTACTATAATAAGAAACATGCAAGTTATTTTAGGACGGATCAGACAAAAAAGGAAAACATGCAAAATAATTCTTATATGGATATAAGGATATATTTTCTATATTTCAATGATTTTTATAATTTTTTTACTCGATTCTTCTATAAAATTATTCTCATTTTTTCGGTTTTTGTTCATTCGAAAAAAATCATTTCTTTTCTGGAAAATTTATCTAAACAGTACTAAAATATAATGATTTTTTCAATGTAGTACCACTAGTCATTATCCACTGGTCATTGTTCAAGTAAATATCCACCGTCATTGGACATTTTCCAAACTAAATGCCCACAACTACTAGACATTATCCAAATATTATTTAGAGGATAAAAAGTTTAAATATTACATTTTGAAATAAAATTTGTTTTAGTTTATTTAGTGCAAATTTCACTTCTTTTTAAAGTAGAAAACTTGTGACTAATTTTTTTTTCAGTCTCGTCTTCACCAATTTGAGCCAAACTTTTTTAACTTTTCAATACATTTTTTTAACTCCATAAAATTAAAATGAGAAGTTTTTTCATAAAATCTTTTTAAGAAGTTTGGTCCGAATTGAAGTTTCTCAATATATTTTTTAAACTCCATGAAATTAAAGTGAGAAGTTTTTTATAAAGAGTTTTATACTCCATAATACGGAGTATTCCGTATTAATTCGAGCTTTTTTCCTTCTCGCCTTTACCAATGCCGTGTAATCTGGGGTATAATATATTTTATAAAAAGTTAATATTTTAAAATTATGTTTAAAAAGAAAACTACTAATATAATATATCACGAAACGTAAGAATGTCACAATTCATTATTCAAAAATCACAAAAATTTTTACGAAATATTTGTTTATATGGTTTAACCGATTATTTCACAAAAAATTATACTCTCTCTATTGCATATCTTTCTTCACGTTGAGTAAAATGAAGAAAAATATCAAAATTTTTCAGCACGCATTATATTTTATTTAAATATATTAGTATAAAGATAAAAAATTAAATTTATATATTTGAAAACTACATCAAAAGTTCAGCAAAATAAGTAGTGACAAGAAATATATTTTATTTTATTATATAATATATGAAAAGTACAAATAAATAAAAATTGGACCATGCTACACTTAGACCAAAGTTTGTACCCCAAACTTACACCAAAGATATATATCAACATATTGATAGTTCACACTGATTTAAAGTGTTAGTGCATTAACAAAAATTACTAAATTAATATTACACCAATAGAAAATGTTGGTGCAAACATATAAATGAAGTACAAATAACAACTTTATCCATAACAATTCTCGTCACTCTGTAACAAGGAGCACGTTGGAGTTTGAACTGATCCGCTCCTCATCCATAATCTCGGCGCCAAGCTCGATGGCGGGCGGTTGCTTCTCTCAGCGATCGGCACGTAACTTCATTCCTTCCCTACACGTGTTCTCCACCGCACAACCACAACGCTCCACCTCTTCTTCTTCATCTTCATTCTTCTCCACACCTAATAATCACTCTTCTTGCTCTGCAATTTCTCCTGCTTCAATTCCCGAGAAAAGGTTGATCGTGTCGCTGTTTTCGCCGGGTATTAATTATCGCAAGGGCCGCAGGGGGGCAAATTGAAGGATGAGTAGCACTAATTTGGAGACGCGTTCGCTGCTGGACGAAATCAGAGGGTTCGATAATGGCGCAATGTTTGATCTGGGCCATCCCCTCCTGAATCGTGTTGCGGAAAGCTTCGTCAAAGCTGCTGGGGTGGGTAATCCCTAATCCGATCTATTTTCCGCCATATTTCATCGTTTACTGGGATTCTAGCTAGTTTCCCCCCTTGTTTTTTTTTTTTTACATCAGATTGTTTCTGATCGATAATCGATTTGTGTTATGTTGTGCCTGTTGATTACTACGTAGATTGGTGCCGTTCAAGCAGTAGCTCGGGAGGCCTACTTCACAGCGGTTGAAGGTGTGATCCATCGACGCTTTTAATTGGTTCATTCTTTTATTTCCTTAATTCTTTCTTTCTCCTCATCTTCTTCCATTTGTACCAGCCTCGAACCCTTAACTTATGGCCTGGATTTGGAATGTTCCAAATACACCAACCAAACCAAGCCAAAGGAAGCCAGAATTCGTTTCCTTAATTCTGCATTTCCGCTTTCATGTTATATTGGAAAATGACGAACAACTACAGTTTGTGTTCTATTGGAGTATATATGTTGTTATTGGTATGATCGGGCGAGTAGTTTCCACTAATAAGTGCGTGTGAATCAGGTGTAGGTCAAGATACCACCGCCATTCCACCTGAGATTGGAGGCGCCAAGAAGCATCATTCTTTTCCTGGCCTTAGAGGTGAGTTAGTAGTCTCTGTCGTTAATTCTATAGAACTTATTCAATGTAACGCGGTTTAATTTGGACAGTTTGGAGAAATTTGTGTATAAGAAATATGAACCACGTATTAGGAAAGTGTATTAATTAATTCGGTACATAGAGACTACTTATTATGTAAAAATGTTATGCTGAAACTTATTACTTTATCGTTTGCTATTGGTTATTGCGGAGTACTTATTAGCACAATATGCAAAAAAAAAACAATAAATATATTCCGGGTAATACTTAACAGCGATAGAAATATGGAATCTTATCAACTTCAGTCTTAGAAGAAATAGTTAGAACCCGTCTTGAAATAAACTTCACGGAGTTCAGAAAAATGTTGAAGAGTAAAAAATATGGATAAAAAATGAAACTGGAAGTGAAGTTAATTTTGGTATGGAGAGTATATTGCAAAACGTAAGACAATCAGGAAGTGTAACTATACCATTAGATGTCACTCTAATACATGGTTTTTGTTATGGTACAGGCAACAGCAACAAAAACTCATTCGAGGCTTTGGTAAGTTCCCCTTTTAGTGTCCTTGTAATGATAAGTTCATCTCTCATCTTCCTTTTTTCCCCTCTTTGTAAGTATCATATGCTATGACTGTTCAACTCACAAAATGTGAGGATAATGCTGCAATATCAACATGCAATTCATTGGTGTTTAAGTCTTTATATACATATATGAAGAGCTGAAGATGCTAAGTCCTCTGTATATGGACTATGCAGTAGTGTTTATTTTCATGTTTCTGAGCAAGAGAAAACTTATTGTTCTTTTCACAATGTTTGCAGATAAAAAGCACTGGAAAAGAATCTTTGCAATGGGGTAAAGTAAAGCTATTTGATTGATACCCCCCCCCCCAGAACACCCCTCACAAATAGTTGTTTGTTATGCATTAGAGGTCTGTGTAATTGAAGAAATGGTTCAACATGATCACTTCATCACTACCCGATATCCAACAAGAACCCTAACTATAGTGGAATCAGTATCATGAAATTTAGTGTCGATTAGTTATCTTAAAATACAGTAACTAACAGTTGAAAGTCTTGCAAAAATGCAAAGTTGTTCGGTATGCAGTAAGATCTTACAAAAATTGTGTGGTATGCAGAAGTTCTTTAAATGATTAAAAAATGGAGGGGGTTTACTGTTAGAGAGTTGATGGTTGTGTTTTGTTATCGATATCACGACTAACCATGATTACGCTATACATTTGATTCACCATGATCACGCTATACGTTTAATTCACCATGATCACGCTATACGTTTTTCTGCTCGTGCTAGGATTTGCTGCAGGAATGCATTCTGGTCTCACGTATGGGCTAAAGGAGGTTCGAGGAGTACACGATTGGGTATGTTTTACCTCATTGTTGTTTGAAAAAATCCCCATGCATTTACTCATGTTGAATTCCTTCCTAGACATTAAACTTGCTTTCAATGGCTATGATCCCCTTTTCACTATTTATCTTGGCTAACCCCATCTCCCTTGGGTGGCGCCTACCTAGCTGCGCTGCTGGTTGGCATCTACTCCCTCCGTTTCATAAAACAAATCCTCTTTTACTTTTCACTCTTTCAATAAAACATTTCAACTTTCTTTTAAAAAGTCACTTTTATCCTTACTAAGTCTTACCCTACCCATCCACATCATATCTATTTATTATTAATCTAACCATTACATCCTACTTTTACCTATCACATCAAAGGACAAAATTGGAAAATCAACTACAAAATACACTCTTAAATTTGCCAAACGTTAAAACAGAAACTCTTCTTTTGTAAAGGAGGGAGTATCTAGTATTGCACATCTGTTCTGTTTGGTTGTTCATCAAGATATATAGATCCCTACTTACCCGAATCTATTACACATAACATGTTTGGTTGATTATCAGAGAAACAGTGCATTGGCCGGAGCCATAACTGGAGCAGCATTGGCTCTCACCGGGAAAGACCACTCTCACGAGCAGGTGATCCAGTGTGCTATAACTGGAGCAGCCATCTCCACTGCAGCAAATGTCCTTAGAGGCATTTTTTGATGGATGTTTTGGCTATATATATGCATGTGTATGTTTCTGCATCTGCCTTAGCATATTCCTAGCAAGGAAGCTGTGACTTGAGGCAAAATTGTCTTCAGATTTTGAACTTTCAAGTTTGTCATTTGCATGGACTGCAGTTATAAGAAGTTGTTATGACTTGTTGCAACATTGCTTTCCTGTTGATTTTGGTATTATGAAGTTTATTCCTTGTACTCATCGCCTCCACTCCAACCACATTTTTAGAATGTTGATCATTTTTTAATCTATCATTTTTAGAATCGACTAGGTTCAATGGCCAGTGGCCACGGAAGCCACTGCTACTCTTCGATACTCCGTTCGTAAACTCCCGGTAAACTCCCCCCCCCCCCAGTCCCGACTCTAACCCACCCCCCACGTATGTCAATTGTACCCTGCAAGTTTAGTTGACTTTAAAGTCAACAAAACTTGTGGGTGCAATTGACATGAGTGGCCGAGTGGGGATGGATTGGGGTCGTGATTGGGCGGGGTTTAACGGGGAGTTAGGGGTATGCATCATCAATTTTACGAACGGGGTACCGTAAGTATTCTAATCGGAGTAGTGGCTTCCGTAGCTACTGAAAAGCTGTGTCCATAGAGTCGGCCCATTTTAGAATAATATGTTTATAGGGAATTTTTGTAAAGTTTTACTGTAATTTCTTGAATAAATAAATTTTAATTTTAATTTTATACCAATATTTGAATAAAACTAATTGAAAGTAATTACAAATCCAAGGGTATCGAAACAATTTAACAATTGAAAGGGCTAAAAGAATAATGGTATTTACTCTCTCCAAAAATTACAATTATTGTTTAATTTTTTGGTCAAATTATGACACATCATTACTATAAATTGTGAAAAAAAATATTTAGTTACTTCATATATTGTAAAATTTAAGATCATTGAATTAATTTTAATACGAAGTACTCCCTCCGTCCTAAAACTTTCTTCCCAGAGCACTATTCCAACTTCACGGGAATTTATATTTATTTTTTTTTCATGGCCTATATGATAAAATAAAATATTCTTGTCACCACTTGTTTTGTTGAATTTTTGATATAGTTTTTAAATATGTATGTTTTATTTTTTATTTCTATACCAATATTTAAATAAAATAGATTGAAAAAACTTAAGATTTTTCTTCGTTTTGCACAACGGGAAGAAAGTTATAGGACGGAGGGAGTATATAATTTAGATATACGGAGCTTTGTCCCTTATACAGGATCAAAGTCAACTTACTCTCTGTGCTTACTTTTAGTACTCATTTTATAATGTAATACAGAGTATGATTTTGTCACCCATTGGTTTGTATTTTCTTCGTCATGATTTAATCTTAAGAAAATCATTCTGAATATGAGTAAAACGTAGAGAAAGTACTAAAATAGAATCTTTATGTTTTTAATCCCAAAATAAAAATATGTGTCACTGTATATAAACATTTCACAATATTTGTTGGTAATGTATATGATCATGATTGATAGTGTTTATGGACATTTCACAATACTTTTTAGTACGGAGTAATATATATGATCGCAAGTGACACTGTAAATGTAATAACTTCGATTTCGAGAATAAAAACATGGTACTTCTTTTTTGGTATATTTTTAATGTTTTGATCTTACTCTAGTTTTTTTAATATTCTCATTTTGACTTTTCGTCATTTTTAAGGGAGCTTGACTATGGGGTAGACTTGTCCAAAATGAGCTGGATTTGTCTAAAATATCTTTTTTTCTGGAAAAAAAATTAAACTAAAAAATTAGAAGATTAAATCTGAAGGTGAAAAAAATAAGAGTATTTTCGTTCAAACACACACATATATACTAGTATAAGAAATGAAAACATTAAACCGAGACGGAAAAAAAGAATTAAAAATATCACATTACAATAGAGGAAATACAACTCTTTATATACTCTCTCCGTCTGGAATTAAACTTCCCGGTTTGGCATTTCTTCATTTTTAATGTGTGTTGACTTAGAGTGTAAATTGGCTAAATTGCCCTTGGTATCAATTCTGATTTACTGGCCCACAACTAGCCCAACTCCCAATTTCCTCTATACTTGCCACCGTCTACTTCTTCGCCGCCCCAACCCCCACCATCACCAGCCCCATCGCTGCCGCTGCGGCGGCTGTCAGTCCATCATCACTATCAGCCATCCATCTTCGTTATCCCCCACCTCCATCACTCCAGACCCACCATCGCCATACCTGGGAGAAATGATGACGATGTTGATAATAATGGTGTAGATCTGCATAGATCTACTACAGATCTGAGAAGAACACCCAGGGAACGAAAGGGAAAAAGAAGAAGAAAAGCATGAGCCAATTTGAGAGAAAGAGGGATGTGATAGAAGGGGGTGCAGAATTAAAGAAGAAGAATGTGAGGAAGAGAAGAGAGGAAGTGGCTGGATGGGGAAGATAAATGAAAAAGAGAAGGGCCGAGAGAGAAAAAAAGAAGGAAGATAAATGAAAGAGAGATTGCCAATTAATGAAAAGGGTATTTTTGGAAGAGTGTTGATAAAAACGTAGAGTGGGAAGATTATTTCCGGACGGAAAAAAAGGTAGAGTGGGAAGATTATTTCGGTACGGAGGGAGTATTTTTTACTACTCCTTGTATTAGTTACTCCGTACTACAAACTACATACGGAGTAGTATTTAAATTATGGAAAAATGTGTGGCGCTAGCTTTTGGATAAAACACTTTGGCATTAAGCGTGGGTAAAGCCGTTGCTTGGTAATGGTTTGGTTCCAACCTAAACCAAGGACGGATATAGCAAGCAAACTAGGGTTTTAGGCCGGAGCGAGAGAGAGAGAGAGCCGAAAAGCAATCAGAAGCAGAAATTGATTGGTTGAGGAAGAGTGGGGAGGAGGATGAGTACTATGAAGTTTTGCAGTGGATGGTTAGTCCCTCCAGTTATTTTACTTCATTTTGGTTACTCTCTCCATTGTGTTTTCATTTGACTGTGTTTGTGTTGGATCGGACCCGTACAGCAACAACATTCTGTACCCTATGGAAGACAGAGATCACAAGGTCCTCCTCTATGGCTGTCGCAATTGCCCCCAACTGGTACTGCCTTCCCAATTATTTATTCATTTCTGGGTCGTTAGGGTTTCTGCAAGTCTTCTCTTACGATAAGTGAGGCATTTGTGCAGACTCCTACTGATTATCCACCATTGTTGGTTGATAGAGCTTGGATACCAAGTACTCCATCCGTTTCATGAAATGGTTCTTATTTTGACTTTTAGGGGAAATTAAGAGTGTATATTTATAGTTGAGTTTCCAATTTTGCCCTTGATGTGATGAGTAAAAGTAAGATGTAAGATGTGATGGAGAGATTATTAGTGAAAAAGTATGATGTGATAGGTAGGGTAAGAAAAAGTAGAGGTAAAAGTGATTTTTTTAATAGAAAGTCGAAGTGTTTTGGGAAAAACAAAAAAAAATGAAAGAGGAAGTGTTTTAAGAAACGGAAGGAGTAGTATTTTGTAACATTCGTAGGGATTTCTTTCTTACTAGGGAGAAATAAAACATTCCTCTGATACCAAAACTAGACATTCAATGTTTTTATATGGAGTGCCAATATAAGACTTACAATGCCAAAAAAAACATTGTGAAATGCCAACACACTGCCAAATTGCATGCATTCCGTAGTGTCAATCCTCCTATTTAGGGGGTAGAAACATAGAACGTTATATTTTGGTATAAGTTATTAAGTTTCATGTTTTAGTCTCATTTTTTGTAATATTAAAGTATCAAGTTTTGTAAATGCATTTCATTTTCTTAATGTGTGCATAATGCATATATCTTAACTAATGGGTAAAAGAGAGCAGAAAAACAAGAATAGACCCAGTAAAATTCTAGGAAAAGTAGGTTTGTGTATGTAGGCCTTACCCTTACTAGGTAGTAGGTAGTACAGAGGTTGTTTCCAAGAGACCCTGAGCTCAAAATAGAGCGGAAAGAGTTTTGGTTTATTTTTTATTTCATACAGTACGAGGGGTGTGCTTATTTATAAATTTGATCTTAGTACCATTGTGCTAGAACTTGCTTCATTGTGATACTCCGATCTTATATTTGGCAGGAGAGTGCAGTAAGCAATTGTGTATACAGAATCAAAATAAACCATGCCGGTGAGCGTGCAAAAGCAATGTCAGATGCAGCCTCAGATCCAACACTCCCACGCACAAAAAATGTGACATGTGCTCAGTGTAGCCACTCAGAGGCTGTCTTCTTTCCGGTATGCATTATATTTTGTTATCCGTTGGGGGTTTCGAATTTTAAATCTTTTGGAGTCCATTGCTTTAGTTTAAGGTGATGGGTCATGCAAGAATAAGTGATTCCCACACTTTTTGAATTATTTCCCGAGTCCCACAAAGCCCAAGTGTCAAATTCCTTCATAGTTTAAAATCTCAATATGCTTGGAATGGATTGTTTTTACACACTATTGTGGGATCTCAAGCTTGTAGTCTTTTGCCTAACCAGCTTCTTTCTTGTTTCACTTAGTAGCTTTCTTTATTTGCTCAACGACTTTCATCCATTGAGTGTCAACTAGTTCAGGTGGATGCTTATATTGTACTCCCTTTGTTCACTATTATTTCTGTTCATCCGGAAATAGTTGTCGACTGTTCATATTTAATACTCCGTAAACAAACTATGGTGAATTATCTAAAATATTGGGGTAATTGTAAACCCATTTGTTCTCTATTCTTTCAGGTTGGACAAATAGAGTTGAATACTTAAATGACTTGGAAAATACCAGAATATTTTAGTTTATACTCCTTTTGTTTCATTATTCTTGGCTCTTTTATTGTTTTATATGTCCCGTTATTTTTTGTCACATACCATATTTAGTAGTACTCCACATCGTTTATGTGAATTACACTCATTCTTGGGTAATGCTTACATAGTCCCAAGGTCCACATTAAAAATGTGAACCTTATTACATTTTTTCAGGAACTTACATGTGGATATTAAGGTCCACTTCTTTTGTGCTACAAATACACTAAAGTCCATAAAATGAGTATGGACTTTAGGTCCACGGAGAATTTGCCCTCATTCTTAGTTTATTTTACTCTTAACTTTTTAACATTGATATCAACAATACAAATATATGTTTCTTCATATGAAAGTCACTAAAGTATGTCACTAACATCATTGCTGCAGGCAACTGGTACTGGAGAAGAAGGAATGTCATTGTTTTTTGTTTGCTGCAATCCAACATGTGGCCACAGGTGGAGGGACTAAATATATGTACTATATGAAGGGCAATGCATGGATGGTTGTCAAGGGAAGACCATAATTGGGACCATTTTCTCTGATTAAAAAAAAAACACTTGTCTAGCTTTATTTAGTCGTCCCAAAAGTTCACTTGATCTTTGTGTTTTCTTGCACTTGCGAAAAATTTATTATTAATGCATCCCAACCTAGCTTGTTAATAGTTTTTGTTCTATCAACGGATCGTGTCTTTTCCCAATGGACGACAAAACATTGTGGCGCATGCGCGCACAACGCATCGCGACGTGACGAGGGCATGGGCCAACACTCTGTGTTCTAACTCTTATTTGTTCTTCGAGTAAATTCCATAATTGGTCCTTTATAACATGAGGGTTTCCATATTTAGTCCTCTATTATCAAATATTACCCTTGTAGTCCTTTCTTTAAAAGTGCTTGTCCACAAATGGTCTTTTTTTGATTTTCTGCCATGTGAGTATTAATTTAAAGGCTAAAAGTATAATTTGACATCAACATTATGTCTAGTGACGTGTTCTGATATTGGTTAAGCGGATAACACAAAAATAATGACTATGATTGTGGGCTAGGATTCTGACGAAAGACTACATTTGTAGACTATGGTTGTAGTAAAAAGCGAATGTAATTCACAAACGACGCAAACGGAACAACTTTTGGAATTGTGTATGATAAAAAAGATATATTATCATTGTGAAATTACACTTTTAGCCCTCAAATTAACTCCCACGTGATAGAAGATCAACAAAAGGACTATTTGTGGAAAGATACCCATAAAAGGACCACTAAGGTAATATTTGATAATAGAGGACTAAATAGGGAAACCCCCTGTTATAAAGGACTAATTACAGAATTTACTCTTGTTCTTCCGATCAATTTTCCAGCGAATTACTCTTCCATTCGTTCTAGTTCATCGGTGCACAATTCTACTGCTCTAGACTTTGCACGTTAGCAATTTTATCTTGGGAGGAGATCGTCCACGTTAGCCATTGCAAGAGATAGGTCATACTACCTTAAGGAAAGCTCCGTCGACTCCGCTTTCCTTTCTTTCCGTTAAGTTTCCGGCGACTGTCTACTTTTTTATTTATTTTATTTCCATTGTAAAATCCCAGCGTAATTTAAATTCGATTATTCTCTTCTTATTTTGTAAACTTCTACTCATTTTCAACATCGATTTATAATGTTTGACTGAAATTATTTTCAATACAATTTATTTGAGAATTGAAGAAGAATTAAAAGATTGAAATTCATATATAAAAAATTACATAAAAAACTATAAAAAAGAGATAATATGACTAATGATAACAAAAAAAGCAGTTTAACTATGTGGATCGTAAACCTACAATTTAATTTGAACCGAAAGGAGTGATATCTACAGGTATAATTACCCACTCCATGGAACAATAAACAAAGATGCTATTCATACTTGGCTGCACGCGTTATTTCCCACGACACACCTTCGTGCTGGTGGTTGCCTGTATAAACATCATGGCCCTTCACCAATGCCACTGTGAACTTTTCGTTCTCAAGGGAAGAAGGATACATGATTTGTTCTTCCTGTAAACCATGACTCCAATTAAAAGAGATTTATTAGATCACTGTGATTTCCTTTGTCTTGGGTTGAAAAAACTAAAAAAAGGATTCATTTCATAGTTCATCTACAAAAGTCTAACTTAAATGTTCTACAATATTTACTATTCTTTTTACTTTGGAGAGTTTTGTCTCTGTTTTATAAAATTTACAATATAAATGTTTTATAATCTTTGTTCAAATGGGATGTCAGACATTTAAAAACAAAAGGTACGGAGTATTCATCTTCCCAACAACAATTGAATTGAATCCCACAAGAGTAAAGTCTGGGAGGGTGCATTTTCAAACCTTGCCCCTATTCAAAAGTAGTGAGTTAGTTTCCAAGAGACCCCCGGCTCATGCAGGCATAAATAATAAATGATCACAGAAGACACGTAGAGCAGAGAGGGCACAAAGCACAAAGAGGCAAAGAGCAAACTAAAGTTAACGGAGTAAATTTGAATAATTAAAAAAAACATTTTCAGAAATCCGAAAGAAAAACACCACCCTTTAACTCATGTTTTTAAAGAAGTGAAAAAAATCAGATTGACTATTGTAAAATTTATAAACCAAGGAGAGCATTATTACCTCTGGCAATTCGCAGAACTCATCGGGAGTGATCTGCAGCAACTCTGTGGCAGTATGGCCAGAGCACCAGGCCAAGAGCTTTCCAGTGCCATCAGCAATAGTTACTCTCAGTTCGAAAGTTCGCACAACTTCATCATTGCATATGCAGTGACAAAAGTTGCATTTTAGGCCTGCACTGGAAACCTCCTCACTTACAAGATGACCACAAGGGGCATGTGACAATCTGGTACCGACTTGACAATACTCAATTTGATCCAACCATACTCGACATACCTAAGATATACCATGTACAGGCACGTCACTGAATTAAAAAACAGTTAGAAGTGTGGAAAGAACAAAGCTTGTTGCAATGACAATGCGTACATGTGTACCAGCAGCACGGACTGATAGATCAGAAAGGTTGGAAAACTTGTGAAGGCATGATGAATTAAGCAGTGAAGGTAGGCAGCTAATATTCACAAAATAAGATCCAGGATCATTCTCAAACCATGACAGCTCAAGGCTTCAAACCAAGCAAAAAATAAGAAAGATAATCAGATTATTCGTACAAATAGGCTTATAGGCATCAATCAAGTCCTTGATTGTTAAAACATTAGTTATAGATCACACACATTCGGTTTGTGCCATTAATACAACACATTATTGTATACTACCATTACTTTATGCTACATTTCAAGATTTTTGATGTTGGGGCGCAGCGGAATATATAATAAGAGTTAAGCTCCTTGTTGGACAATGTGTTATCATGAATTTGTATCCTTGCAATGTCCTTTACCCATTGCCTTTTAGGTTTTGATAATGACAAAAAAGTGACAAAGAACACCATCATATTGTGCATCAAGACTAAGAATCAAAGTTACAAAAAGTTATTATCTGTCCGTGAAGAATGGATGTTTTGCATCCGTTGAAGGACCGAGACCGAAGACGTTGTTACCTTGAGTGGGTAGTCTTTTAGGTCTTAGAATGTGTGTTAAAGAGTATGGCATCAATAAGGTTCATTCCTTGATAATCCTACCTTCAAAACACCTTTTAGATCATCTTTTGTATGGAGAAGTTGCTATTCTATCCGAATAACCTTTGGTTTATTCAAATAAGTCGTAGTTTTTCCAGTGGCTGAAAATGCATTGTTTTATTCGAATAAAAGCAATATTTATTCGAATAAGTGCATCAGTTTACAGGTCACGGAAACTCTCTGTCTTATTCGAATAAATGAAATCTCAAACCTTTTGATGCATAACCTCTCCCCAACTTCTATAAACTTCCATACTTCGTGATTATCATGAGAAAAACACCAAGAACACATATCAAAAGAGATTCTACTCAATCCACTACACATCCAAACAAGGCAATTGTTTTGATTGTTAAATCCTTTCTTGCTTGAGTATATCATTCTCATTGCTTGAGTCTTTGAGAGATTGTGCTATATTCTATAGTACTTGTATTTGCAATAATCTCTCCGTGTTGGGAGAATTATTCCACTGTGGTTTGCTTTTTTTACTTTTTGTAAGGGATTCTCTTCATTCGTGTTGGGGCTTTAGCGGGATCGTGGAACTTCATACGAAAGAGGTACATTGCCAATGAGGAAATGGTCATTTTCTTTACTATGTCAACCTCCCAAAACCCTTTCCGCCAAGGAGAAGGACGTCCTTCTTCAGATGTCCTCTCTCATACTGCTAAGATTCTCGAGAGTCACTCTCTCATGATCAATAGACCCAGTTCGGGGCATAGACTAAACCCAGGAGTCTCTGAAGCGGAATAAGAGCCTCCCCCGCTCGGAATAGAGGCTTAGCTCGTAAGTGGAAGAAATCCCGAGTCTTTGTAAAATCCCACAGTAAGTGGTAGAAATTTTTAACGGTTTGTAAAATCAAACTTTAAGTGGAAGAAATCCCGAGTCTTGTGAAATCAAGATTTTGGTGGTAAGATAGGAGGCTTGTGAAATAAAGTTCTCCAGTGTCATTTGGATTGTCAAACTCCGTTAAGTTTGACGGGCTGGTAGTGAAGGCTCGGACACATTTGCTTCGGAGACTGGATGTAGGCATTAGGCCGAACCAGTATATATTGTTGTCTTCCTTGTTATTTTCCTTCACTTTCTTTTGTTTGGGGTGCATTGGTTTTGATCGAGAATTTGTCAAGAACGTTTCCACACAAAAAAGTTAGCCATTTGGGCAACAACTCTATTCACCCCCCTCCTCGAGAAGCGTGCAAGGCGTCTAACACTCCTTGTAGTGTATTCTCATTTTCACATGCTTGTATCTTCATTCAAATGAGAGAGAGAGAGAGAAGGCCAAAGTAAATGTATTACTTCAAAAAAAATGAAAGTGAATCTGGGTTGACTGTGTTGACATAGCCCAAAAGTTTGGATGAGCCGTGGTTAAATTCAGGGTGTCTACTTTGCTCTATTTATCCCTTCTAACTTTATTATTTATTTCCATTACACCCCGACACCTAACACATTTGCATATGAGGAATATACTCACGTTCTCTGTTTGCTCATAGAACATGACAGGCCAGAAATAAATACAGTGTGCCCCAGGCTAAGCCTTCCAAATGACCTGAAATGAACAAGCGAAAAAAAAATCATTTATACACACACACACACACAATTATATACTCCATATGTCTCATAAAAAATATTGTTTCACCGAGGTACAAGTTTTAAATTTTAGAAAGGTTCAATTATTGAAAACCATCAATTTTAGCTATCTTTAAAATTTATTTGTTAGTTTAACTAAATTTTAACATACTTAACTTGTTTGGGGCACTTTGTTTTATCCAATAAACATTGGATAAAATGGAACTTAGTTTTCTTGTTCAAATAGGATTCTTTTTTTCAGACATACATAAGTCTTCAATGAAGGCTCCCTTTTTTAGGATAGAGTAATATGAGGGGCAACTGGTGGGATTCAACTGGGCTGTTGTTGTTTGTAGGGCAGCACAGCTGATTTGAAATGTAAGAAATACACCGCAACTTCAATACTGATATTACAAATATTCTACCTACCAGGATCCTACAAAATGTAGCCTTGCCCAAACTGCACCTGTTGCATCCTCAATTTTCAAAGAGAATGTTTGTTCTCCCATACTTCGGATGTCTTTAACATCTCCATAAAGGCTGATCCCAGTCATCTTGTCATGCAGATCTGTAACAAATGACTGCAGGATTTAAACATGTAAGAGAAGTTGACTA